ATGGCTGCGGTTTTCTTATTTGATGGATGACAAGTGGCCAAAGCCAAACACAGGAAGTCGATATATTTGGGGCTTGTTTCCTCCCGCTCACTCTCCCCTGTCTGCCCTCCTCCCTCCCTCCCAGGCAGCCTGGAATGAATTTGCCTGCTCATGTAGAGCCGTGTCAGAGCCAGGCGATGCTGGCAATTCATCACCCTGCGCTGGTTGCCTGTCACTGCTCCTCCACCGTTTTTTTCTTGTGTGTGTGTGTGTGTGTGTGATGGCTGGACGCCTGCTGTCACAGCTCCTCACCACCACCCTGACTACCTCAGGACCTCCAGTAGAGACTGAGAGGGGCCGTGTGCCCTGCTCTGCTCTGACAGCTCCACGCAGACCCCTGGATGGATGGAAGGAGGGTGAGACTGAGGTGGGGGGGGGGACCCAATTATCCCAGAATGCAGCAGTAGGTGGTGTTTTAAATCACCCCTGACCCCTGACCTCAGTATCTAGCAGCAGGAGAGTGAGGTGCTTTAGCAACAGTCTATGGTAGCAGGAGGAAAACTAATGGATTTTAATGCAATATCTCCCTGAAATTGTGGCAGCGCTGCACAGATCAGCCATTACCCCACGTAAGTGCACTGCAGGCCCCGCTGAAGCGTCTCTCAAGACCATTAAGATGCCAGAAATATCCTGCAGCGACAGGGAGAGACAGCAGACACACATCCAGGGGATGTTCGGTCCATTTGAGGCAACAACCACAGCTTAACTGGCTGGGTGAAGCCACTTTACTGATAATACGCAGAACTGCAGGGAAAACGAGTTTACACATAATTTACTGCCACTTTTCTGCTCAGCCTCATTCCCCCGAAAGACACCAGGACGTGATGAGGACAAACGCCTGAGAATCAAATGCCTGGCATGGACCGGGAGAGGGAGGGGGCAGTTTAACATCACATGTATGAGATGAAGTTCTGAGCAGAGGAGGAAAATGCCACCGTTCCCTTCTGAGAACAAAGAAGTGCTTCATCTTAAATCATGTGAATCTTAAGGATCCTGTTCTGCGTGTGTGCGTGTTTACACAGATTAAAACATAAAGAAACACTGGAATCATCAGACAGTTCTGCTTTGGTTTGTCCAGGTTTCCTGCTTCTTGTACAGTGAAGGAGAGTAACATTAGTTTGCGGTGCATCAGTGTTGATGGTCAGATCTCGGTGAGCAGCTGCTCAGTGTTCTGCAGCTCAGCATCACGACTCTGGTTGCTCCAATATTTCTTTAGATTCGAGTGAGGTGACAACAGAACAGGTGTAGTGAGCACAGCCCAGAGGCCTCTGTGTGAAGTGACTTAATATTTGTGGTTATGAGGTCAGTCCACAACAAATGGATGCAAAACAGCCACAAAGAGGTGCAAAATGTGCACAAGGATGTGCAGAATAAGACAGACAAAATAAGTAAAACAAGTGACTAAAAAGAGATGCAACACAATGAAAGCTGTTAAAGAGTCACAAAATGCAGAGATGCAAAATGGCCACTTCTGAATATCGACACAAAAATGAGACACGTAGAGGTAGCTGCAAAGATAAGTGCTCTTTCTGGTTGAGTTGTTTGGCAGTGCAGCAGCTCTCTGTAGCCAGAGGCACAGTTTAACCTGGGGCCAGTTATCTTCTATCATTTGTGATTTAATGTGAGTTCAGTGGCAGCCCTAATGTAAAAAGCATGATGTGTCACATAAAAGGTGGTGATGAAGTGCAGGGAAGGAACAAACCATCATATAACACAATCAGCACATCACACACGGAGCCGTACATTAAAAAAAACTTTATTATTGTTGTAAGGTAAGATTGACTACAACATGCTTTTACCACAATAAAAAATAAAAAGATATTGCACTGGTTTTACTCTAGTGATGTTTTTCTCCCTCCTAATGTCTTTCTCAAGCTTTTATGGTGCACAGCTGAACCTTCCTCCTCCTCTTCCTCAGTCTTTAGAGACAAACATGGTTTGGAGTCAAGTCAATAAAGGTCAGGGATGACCTCCTGAGACAGAAAGCAACGGACTGCACATTGAACCATCACTGACTCTCATGTAACGGTGATGTGAAGCTTCAGAGTGTGTGTGTGGATGTTTTGGTGGGAGGAAGGGTTCACCTCGTCATGGCCAAGGTCACATGTTTAAGTCACCGTGTGCCTCAGAGACAGAGCTTGTCTGTGCTCCTGTTCGGAGTCAGAGGCATACGGAAACTCGCTGGGGACAAATCAGTGAGTGAGAGCAAACGGAGACACAGTCGTCGGTTCAGGAAACTCAGAAGCCTCATTTTGTCCTGAACGTTTTTACAAAAGTACTGCATGAGAACAGGAAATGTGTTTTTGATGGACTGAGCCTAAGTGGAGGCAGGAGCACAAAACAGGCTCCGTGTTCAAAGTCTGGGGTTTGTGTGTGTTTAGTTTGTAAACCTGCTGTTTGCCGCAGCTGTTTTTGCAGGATTTGCTGGACATGTCACCTGTTAAGGTCAAACTACAAAAAGTATTCAGTGACAAAATTACTTCATTACAGTGACAGAATATTTGGCAGTTTCCAGTTGGAGGGAGACACCTGTCATTGTTGCCTGTGTTTGTACATGTAACCTCAGAGAAATTCATCATTTTTGTTGAATTCAATCAAATATGCTTTATGTAAGCACTATATTTGTACCCAGGTACTGCATCGGCACTAGTACTAACACCCAGAAGTTACACAGGTGATGGTGCTACCAGCTGCTGACACAGCTCCACACACACGCTCTCAAACCCTGACTTTCTAATTGATTCCAGTTCCACGTCGACCTGGTTAATGAACGTCCACAGTGGGGGGGGGTCTGGTCACTGGGCCTCGGACACAGAGCAGCACGGGTGCATGATGGGTAAACATGGGCTGGAGGGCAGACTAACTGCTGCAGCGGGCGGGCCAGGATGGGACAGGAGGGCCTGAGGGGGGCACCTTGACCCCGTGTGGCGTGGTAAACAGGCTCGGGGCTCAAGATGAATGACTTCACCCGAGAAACTGACACATGCCCCGGTCTCCAGCAGATGGCTGCACCGCCATCTTTACCCAGGAGGAGGTGTCGTGTGTGTGTCTGCAGTCAGTGGAGACGGGGAAACTGGCACCACTACAGTAGCTTTGATGGTGCGAGTATTGATCTGTATGAGTGTGTGAGTGTGTGAGGCAGCTGTTCATGTGGTATTAATAGGACGAGCAGCTGAGAGCAGATGGGCTGGACGGTGCACGGTTAAAACACTCCGGGTCTAATTACACACAGAACGTCAAAACTCTGGTGCTTCTTGCACTGATATGGAAAATTCGCAGTGACAAATCTACTGAGCAAGGACCAAACGGCAAGATTTAATGAACCTGTCTTAGTTAATCTTTAACCCGTTAGTCAAGATTTGAGAGGACACAGGGACTGAAACAGGACACAGACAGCATTTTGTGGGTTTCTGATGCCCAGATGAAACTATCTGACTTTTGGATACGTCTGTGCAGACAGTTTCTGCAGGACCTATAACATATCTAACCAACACACACAGTGAAACAGACACTGTGATAATACTGCTCTAGGTTTACTTCAAGCTTAAAGCACAAGATTCTGATTTCATCTGCAAGTCACAAGATCTTCCTACAGTTTGTCTTTTAAAGCTGAGGAGAGTTCTCGACTCTGAACTGAAGGAAGTGGAGCTCCTCAGCCAATCTAAAGAGATTTCTTAACCTCCAAGATGAACAAATCTAAGATTTTTAAACTTTAAACTGGCCTTTAAACTGCTCACTTCAGCCTACAGGCAAAACGTGGCTTCTGGCCTCAGACTGTTAAATATGCTCACAATTCTAAGGACTTAGGAATGTGTCCGTGCTTGCTCTCAAATCTGACCTGCAGACTGATGTCTTCCATTCCACCTTGACCTCGTCTGTATCTGGTGATACCACAGACGAGACCTTTGGCTTGTGTGTATGAATAACAGCGAGTGCAGCTGGTTAAACGCCACCAAAGAGAGAAGCGCTTTTAACTCAGGAGTTCCTTAACTTCCTGACCGTGTAATTGGCCGCAGCTGACTGCAGCTCTATCCTTGGAGTTGCTCTGTGCACGAGCCCCGACTCCGCAGACACACCCGTTCACACATGTGATGACGACTCTGACACATTTGTGCTAACTCTTCCTCTGTGGCCCACATGACCACATAGCACACCACATTCTGACCAGGAGTCACCTGACCATGGTGGTAATTGTCTTAGCCTGTCAGAGGGAGTTCGACCGCTGCAAAATTCACTCACAAAAACAAAACAAAGAAACAAACATGTAAACATGATACAGGGATCGTTGCAGTCGGCTGAACAGCATCCATTAACAGAGACAAGCTCTGCAAAGACAAGACACTGAGGGAGGTTCAGTTCAGCTTCACAAGAAGAGCGGCTTGGAAACAGCAGGAAACATTTATCTCACAAGTGGGTCGGGCCCGGGTTTCACAGGTGACTTTCTGCAAACTGAATTTGAAAAAAACTCTTTCTAAAACATGCAGGGAGAATCGAGGACGTCATCATGACGGCACAGAGGAAATTACATGTGGAATATCCAAAGAAAAGGCTGACTGAACAGGCTGACTGGATTTTTGTTCTTACCTCCAGAAGCAAGAGTCTAACACTTGAGGAAGTGGTCAAACATCCCGAACAGATCTCCATTTTGTTTTTTCTTAGACAAATGAGATAAAGTTTTGTGCAAAGCCTGATGCCTGACACAGACCCAGAGAGCTCGGCACACACACAGGTGTCCTGGCCTAAGGTAAACATAAAACACACACACAAACACACTCGGGGTATAAATCCGATGCACAACAGAATGTTAAATGAATATATATATATATTAATATACAAATATATACACACACACACACACACACACATATATACACACACACACACACACACATATATACACACACACACACACACACATATATACACACACAAAAAAAAAATATACACACACACACACACACACACACACACACACACACACACACACACACACACACACAAAGTGGATTAGAGGCAAAAAGCACAGTGAGTCAGTCCAGATACCAAACAAACAAGTGGAGCCTTTAGAGGCCGAGCGGACTAGAAATAAAAAGGTGGTGGTCCAACAGAGCCACAGTCAGTCTGGGTCTGCAGCTGAAGCTCAGGGTGGGGGTCTGTGCAGGTGGCTGAACCCAAACAGTGGTGAGCAGCATGGCAATCTCAGGGCCGGAGTTAAAACATGTCCAACGTGCCTAGCTAGTTGTGCTCATGCTAACATGCTAGGGCTGGGATTTGACAGGACTTTACTGGATCCAGTAATAAGTCCCTTTGTTTAACCCTTTAATAAACATTTACTTTTAGATACTTTTAGAGCATTTGCAGAAAACGCAGTAGCTGCAGCAGCCACACTGTAAAATCAGGCATCACCATCTTATGGGCTGGTGAAAGTGACAGTTAGCATCATTCTCTGCTGATAAAAACTGCAAGTAGAAATAAATAAAGATGTGTTAGCAAACTTGAAACTGGGGCTAAATGGAGCCAACAACTGAAACCTGACCTGATCTGGCATCTTAGCTAACAAACACATGGCGGACTGGATGTAAGTGCTTGTACTTTTCAGGAAGTCAGTGCTTTTCAAATATTAGAACTAAAACTTTGAGCTCACTGATTGAGTTTTAGGCAGCTTCCATAGCTCTGTCCTTTGATAAATGCACATAAACCCTGATCCAACAGTGAAATTCAAATCTCTCTGAATGTCTGCAGAACCACTCCTGCAGTCAGTGCTCGGGGAATACATCTCCTCAGCTGCAGAGCTGCAGTGTCAACTCAGCAGGGGCTACAGCAAAAGGGAGAATTAAATTTGGTCTTATTAGCTGGGTGCTGAGTGTACAGAGACACTGCAGAGTCCCTCCTGTTAAAAACACTCTAATGCTTTTACACAGACTGATGAATTTAAGCTGCACTTCACTGCAGAGATGCAATCCTTTTCCAGTGAGGGATGGTTAGCAGTTGTTCTAGGACGAGAGCCTGTTCAGCAAGGTATGTTCTGATCTGTTTGAGGAACATGCGTGGTGTGTGTAAATGTGCCTACACTTTAACTTGCCTGTGCATGGACCAGCGAGCTCTTTATTTCTAGCCCCAGACATGTCTGCAGAAGGGTAACGAACGAAACCCCTCGTGGAATTTAGTCTGAAAGCATGAACCAAAGCGGCAGGACACCAAATTAACTCTCACAAACATAAAAAGCACAGAACAGCTGGCACAGAGCTGAGACCAGCACATCTGTGTGTGCTGCTGTTAGCTCTCTGTCTGCACCTTCCTTTGAAAGTCATACTTTCAGATTAGTTAGTAATATGTTGTGTTCTCCCAAACATGCAGTTTGTGTGAGTTTTACAGCCTCCGGCTAGCACTGAGCGGTGTGAGCTGTACATTTTGTTTTGCTGCTACGTCTTCTTGCCGGTTGCTTTTTCTGGTTGTGAGGAGGCGGATGTGCCGCTGGCCATAGTTGCTGTCTGGGATTCGGACGCCTTGCGCTGTGGCTCAGTTGCTGCAGAGACAGGGAGGCTTGTGTTGGGGGTGACCTGAGCTGCTGCACCCGGCCGCTGTGCAGATGCAGAGGTGGCAGTGCTCTCCCTACTTACAGACCCTGATGTGGCCCCTGCTGTGACGTCCTTGCAGGATGGTGTTGCCAGGGTTGCGCAGTCTTTCTGGGAGGAGGATTTGGCCGACCTCTGTGAAGTGGTCGGTGAAGCAGCTCGCTCTGTTTTCTGCCTGGTTGGAGATAGGTGAGGTGACTGAGGGGCTGTGAGCTGTTTGGAGGGGAAGGAAAGGGGGTCAGGGTGGGGGACTTCTGGGGTTCCACCTCTGGAGGGTTTCTGGTCCTTTGAGCTCTTGTCTGCAGGAGCGCTCAGTTTGACAGGACCCAGAACGCTCTTAGCTACTGTCGCAAGCTGGGACATAACTTTGTCAACCCCACTGTCAGAGGGTGGAACTGGGGAGCTAGCGCCCGAGTTGGAGCTTGAAGGGGACGAGGATGACCCACTTAGACTCGCAGCAGCGGCAGCAGCGCACAGTTTCCGATTATCGGCGTCCTTCTTCTCCTTGGGGATGCCAGGAGAGTAGCGGGAGGTGCAGGGAGCATCTCGGCTGTTAGCGGTTCGACAGTCTGTTGTACTTGTGGTGATTCGGGAGGCTGCGGTACTCGTGGAGGCTGTGCAGTCAGGAATACTTGCAGTGCTCATTGTAGAGGGGGCAGTGGTTCCAGGGTCCTCTGCTCTGGACTGGCTCTTTGAGTCTTGTGGAGGAGTCGGATTCAGGAAAGTGTCCTTGCTGACTGAGATGAAGGCACTGCCTGGAGTGGAGAAGGGAAGGGAGCCCTGAGTGGGTTTGGTACCACTTGGCTCCACAACCTTCCTCTCTTGTTGTGCTCCGTCTTCAGTGGATGAGGCAGAGCTGCTGTCCTTTAGGACCAGAGAGGAGGTGCTCTGACTGGACTTTGTTTCTGTAATGGAGGAGGGAGCAGGCGAGGGAGTGGGCCTGCCTACCTGTGAGGGTCCTGTGTGGGTGAATGTGGCATGGGGGGTGCAGGGGGAGAGGCAGAGGGATGGCAGAGTGCCTCCAGGGCCTGTTCTCACAGTGGTGGGCCTCAGCAGGGGAGGAGGGGTGAATGTTGCCCCCCTGCGTCCCTCCTGGCTGTCCTCTGAGCCCTCGTCTGTCTCGTCCTCAGATGAATCAACCTCATGGATGGCGTCTTGCTTCTGCAGTGACTCCCTCCGCTCTGCTCTGTCCTGCCGGATGGCGGACAGTTTGTCCTTCAGCTTGCTCTTCCCGGGGGCCAGGCCCAGTGAGCCAGACACCACACTGAGGGCACCGTCCCCTTCCTGGCGTCCTAACTTCCTGGAAGAGGAGGAGTGTTTCTGCAGGCTGCCCTTCTCCACACCACGTCCTGCTGAGGACAGAAGACTCTCGCTGGCTGACTCCTGGAGGAGACAGAGTAACACGACAGAATGTCACTGATCCCACATCGTGCACAGTGAAGGGAACAGCTAATCATAGAAAACAGGAGCTTTCATGAGTTTGTGGATGTTTCTGGTGAAGGTTTCTGCAGCAGAACATCAACATAAAACTAAAACATTAAACTGTTAGGTTCAAATTGAATTGGTTTTTGGAATCTGTAGCTAGAACACAGCGCAGATAATCTGGTTTCCACTTTTTCGGCTGTGGTTTTGATAAGCACTAAGCCTGAGTAGTCATTCAGCTCCACATCTCATCTGTGCTCCAGCCATGCACACTTCTCCTGTCTGAGAACCAGTTTCAATAGCATGTACATAATATTGCTAACTGCTACATCTTTCCATAAGACGTCCTATTAAACACACTATTGTTCACTGACAGCACCATAATCTCCTTCCAGCGATCCCCATCATCATTATGCTGTTAGAATCCACTGGAGTGTGATTAACTCTTACCTGGAGGCTCTGCAGGCTCGGCTCCCTCTGCAGAATCTCCTTCTTAAACTCTGAATGGGAGATGTCCAGACTGTGTTTACGACTCCCTACAGCTGCTCCCACCGTCAGCTTCTTGTCCCCTGCTGCTGCGACCCCAGACGGGGATGAGGGGGGGTTAGAGAGGGAGGCAGCCAGTTTCTCAGCTGACTGCACCCTCTTGAGGAGTGGAGAGCGTGGAGGCTCTGCACTCTTAGGTCTGGATATCTGCCTCACCAGGGGAGGGGAGGAGTGCAGCTTTACAGGGAACGATGGGCCCCCGGTGGACTGGCCCAGAGCATGGCTGGACAGCGGGGAGGGGGAGCGCTGTGGGGAGCTGCTCTGAGGGGTCGGTGAAGGTGTGCGGGCCAGAGGAGACAGGGGGATGTTGCCGGCAGACTTTCGGCGTGGAGAGCGGTACTGGCGCTGGAGCTTCGGGGCGAGACCGTGGAGGGAGCTGGGCCGGATGTGGCCCGAGCTCGCTGGGGAGTTTGGGACACTGGAACTGGGGGAGCTGCTCTGAGAAGAGTTTCCACCAACTGAGGGGGGAGAGAGAGAGGGAGTGGAGTAATGCAGCAGGGCTGTACTAAGAGACAATGCCATGAAATACAGCTCTGTTCAAGCTGAACTGATTTAGAAGACAATTAACACATTAACTGGTGAGGGGCTGTGTCTCTGACCTGAGTGGACGGAGTCTGGTATGGACCTGTAGCCCTGGGTCGGGCTCCGTGGCGACAGGTTGTGTGTCGGAGAGCCGGGGCCGCTCTCGCCAGAGGACAGGGAGCGGTTTAAGGAGGACAGACTACGGCTGGTGTGGAGAAGAGACGCCTGCTTGGTGATCTTCCTGAACAGAGACGTCTTCTTCTTACTGCAACGGACACAGAGGAAACAGCTCTAAGCAACCTCACGTGATGTCTGGTATGCCCCAGGTGTGTGTGTATGTCTGTGTGTGTCCCACCTGTCCTGTCCCTCCTTGTTCTTGGTCTTCTTGTTGCGTCTCGCCATCTTGGATTTTTGGCTCGTCTTTCGGGCAGGGCCGACTTTGATGGACGTGTTCTCAAACGGGGTGGCAGAGATGGACACCTTGGCGCCGCCCTACGAGAACACACACAGTGTTTATGTCACTTTACTCAGATACTGGTGTAAATTTGGAAGTTACATTTTTATGTTACAAGTATTTTATGTCACAACCTGGGCAGGTGAGTGGAAACCGATTGTGACATTATGTATGTTACCAACAGACATCTGGTGTCTGGATGGTTCTATTTAGCATGAATTCATATTCATTTTCAAAACTAAAATACAGCAAAAATAGCCTCTTTTGTGCACGTGTGAGTCCACAATCTTATTTTATTGGAAAGATATTTGCAGTTTGACTTCATGTTCTTTAAGAAGTCATCATTTAGGTCAAACGAATGTTTTATTAAATTAAAAAGCATAAAGCAAAAAAGGAGAACACTTAAAGTAAACAAACAAGATAAAAAAGTGCCCGTGGCGTGCACTCTGGCTGTTATCAGTACTGTGCCTTCAAGACGTGATTTTACTGGAGGGAAAAAGCGGAGTTGAGCCAACTTTATGTTTGTACCTTCAGAATGAGCTCCACCACCTCAGTGTGAACCAGACCGTGCACCGGCTCTCCGTTGACATGGGTGATCAGGTCGCCCTCCCTCAGCCCCGCCTCATGGGCCGGACCGCCCTCCTCCACATGCTGAGAGAGGCAGAGGAGGACAGAGGAAGGAGCAGAAGCAACATGAGGAGATAGAAAAAAGGCAAGGTGTTGGAGGGAGATGTAGAAAAGGTCTCTGGACCAAGCCTGTTTTATTGTTGTTTACTGCCATCTTCTGTCAACGATAAAACCCCCGTTCACTGCAACCACACCAACGCTATTATAACGTGATTGTCAGTCTAAAAAAGTACAGAAATCTAACCTGCTAATAATACCTGTAATATAGTAGTTTATTGTCAGTGTCAGCTACTTTTCTTCTACATTTTGGATTTTGTGATTAGTTTTTTTTATTTCAATCAGGAGAAGCTGGTTTGAAACAAATGACTGATGCGTCTGACTCTTAAAGATCTTTGTGAAGTTGAGGCATCAACAGGTAACGTGTTAACATGGGCACTGCGGGCTCACCCAGACCATGTGGTGCACAGTGTAGATGTCGGAGTCGCCCATGTAGACCCGGATGGCTCTCAGAGTGAAGCCGTACTTCTTCCCCGCTCTGTGGATGATAATGGCAGGTTTGACGCCGCTGACGGCTGGCGACAGGTCCCGGCTCGGGGACGAGTCTCGTGACGACGGGTTGGATGACAGCGAGTGGGGTGACATCGGGCTGGCCAGTGGGGAGGCTCCATGGTGGTCTAGGGGTGGACAGATATTACAGCCTTACTGAGTAAGTATTTATAATAATCAAGGAATATTACCTTTATTTCCCATGAAAGTTCAAGATCCACTACACTTAGAAGCAATATATATGTGAAACGTGACAGAAACTCCAATTGATTACATCCGGGTGTTCAACAGACAGATGCACTGACCTGCGGGGATCATCAGTGACAGCGTGGTGGCGGAGGCCGACTTGATGACCTTGTTAAGTGGCCTGGAGCTCACTGTTGCCGTGTGTTTGTCTGTGTCCCCTGAGAGCAGCCGGTGCCGCGCCCGGCGAGCCGCCAGGTCACTGATGGCCTTCGGAGTCGATGGAGAGTCGCTGTCTGATGCACCTTTAGCAGCTCCACTGGTGCCACCATTGCTGCCGTTACCACCGTTAACACGTTCACAGATGTCGCCTGAGCTGCCCGCTGCATTGACAGAGGAATTAATGTCAGGGAGACGGTCGGAAAAAACCTTTCCAGTGTGCATGACAAAATTCAGGGAAACAAGGTTTCTACTGATATCAGTGGTGTAAAGGTAAAGAAAGTTAAGGGGGATTCTGGAGAAATCATGCAGGAAGTTTGACAGTGATTTCTCTCTGCAGTAACTTTGACCAGAAGAAAGTTGGGTTCATGTAAAACTGGTCTTTTCTTTGCATTTATGGATCAGATTTCGTTTGTACTGACGTGTGAGTGTGGCCTTGCTCAGTGGGCTGGAAGTGGAGCTCGGGGTGGTGGGAGACTCGTCCAGCTTCAGCTCTCTCTCCACTGGGATCTCTGGGATGGCAAGGGGGAGCTCGTCACTCCGTGGACCCCTCACTGCACTCGGACCCAGCAGGCTGGGACTCTTACGACTTACAGCTGCACCGGAAAGACAGACAAAGAACAGGCTGAGTTAGGAGCTGGAGTTACAGCTTGTATACAGTTACTGCTTGTACTTCGAGGGGTTCCCCAAGCAGCAGCTGCCTACTCACCAGTGTGACAACCCACGTCCCCAATTAAGTTCACGGTTACAGCAATTTATGACCCTGTTTCAAAAGCGAGGTTTTCTTGATTGCAGATAATTTGACCGATTGTCTGCATTAGTAGCAATGCTAACCTGGATGTGTACACACTGTGCTGCCGTAAACAGCTTCCACAAACCAACCAGAGTTGTATCATGTCAGATTTTATTTCTTTCCAGAGCCTCAGCAACTTTCTTTGCTATGCTCACTCCTTCAGGGCTGATGTGAAGTGCTGCTTCTCCTGACAGTGAACGGCCACCGGCCAGCGATACATTCCTCCTGTGTTTTTTTACCTCCTTCCTCCTCGGAGGAGATGGCAAAGCGCGGCATCTCAATGATGGCGGAGCAGCAGCGTCTCCGCACTGTCAGAGGGGGGCTGGAGTCGCTCTCAGTGTGGGACGACTCAGAGACTGACAGACGCTTCCGCAGTCTGGAGAGGGGAAGGTGGGCAAAGATCAGACATGTCGCAAAAATAAAGGAGACAGCAAGTCAAGACACTCACATTCCAGGTGGGTTCCTATTTGAATTAATAAATACCCACAGAAAATATCACGCTAAATGCACAAAGTTCTCTAGAACTAAAAATAATGCAAACTATTTTTGAAGATAGAAAATGACTGTGAATGACTGGGCCTGTTTAGAGGAACTCACATCTCTGGAGATCCCACCAGCCAGGATCGATCCCTGGACTTGAGTCCACTCAGGCTGTCAATGCGATCTCCTCCTTCCTCGCTGAGGCTGCGTTTGGTGGGTGGAGGCGTCCTCTTCTCCTCATGCAGGGACAGACGCTCCATGCTGCTGTACACCTGCAAATAACACGCATCAGAGCTCAGCTGACACAGTTCACATTTGGAAGTACACAAACAGAGCTGCAGTTGGATTTTAGAAAAAAATTGCATTATATTATACTGTAGATCTAATAATGTATTTCAAACCTTTTTCCCTTAGTCTATTTAATTTTAAAATTTAATGCAAAAGACAGCTCTATCAAGGCTGTTTATGGTGGTATTTTTGTTGTCTGGCATCATGGGATAATGTGCTGGATTTGCTGAATTGAACCAAGTGCATGAGGAACCAGTGAAGCGATATCAACAATGTCCTACATGACGAAATCCTTGGTCTCTTCCTTGACAAACAGTCTAAAATGTCTTTTGTTGTTTCAGGAGAGTTTAACAGGCCGTAAACAGAATTTACAGACAGATATTACTTTGTACCTTGCTGAAGCGAGGTGAGCAGGAGGAAAACTGTCGAATCTCCACGTGTTCATCATCATTCGTGTCGTCCTCCTCTTCTGAGTCCACGTGGTGGTACCGATCAGAGCGAGCTACGAGACAGCAAGTGGTCAGGTTAGATGTCGATTACAGTCTGAGTACTGATGTTCAGACCGCTAACACCAGCCAGCTATCAGCCAGACAGAGACGTACTGTCGAAGTAGCTGGTGTCGTCCTCAGACTCCAGCTGGGGGATGAACTCAGCTTTCTGCCTTAGCAGGCTGTTCCAGTCCAGCTCGGTGAAGAACGGGTGCTGCTTCACCTCAAAGGCGCTTCCTGTGGACACGAACAGAGACTTGAAGGAGCGCAGTGAGACGGATGAGAACAGATAACTGGAGACCAGCTTGGGCCAAACACCTGGATTTTGAGGAACCCATTCCAACAGAGTGCTGACTGAGCCCAAAGAAGAAAAACAAACCTAACACACAAGGGCATCTACAGAGGGGGAACAACGAGGCTCCTTGAAACACCTTTCCATAATTTTTAGTTTCATAATTTTCTAGTTCTTCAAATGTGTGTGTGTTACCTGTGCCGAGCCTCTCCAGAGGGTTTTGTCTCAGCAGTTGGGCGATGAGGTCCTGAGCCTCCTGAGGTAGAGCTTCATCACCCTCCGGCCAGATGATCTCATCTAATGCAGCGCACAGACAGAGTACAAACACAGATCTGTGGTGTGAGCCCAGATACTGCAGCTGCTTTTATTAGTAAAAAACAGAGGAAATGAGACACCGGGACCAAGTAGGGCTGACAAAATCCCAGTTGGTTTCCTCCTCCTCCCAGACCTTTCTATCTAATATATGATTACAATGTCACACACATAATTTATAACACTCACACAGAGCCCAACGAAACAGGACCTGAGAGACAAAACGTGATGATTTAACACAGTTACATTTCTCATAAATCAGTCTTGAATGTGTCCCTGTTACTTACAACTTAGTAGGATTTTAAGGACAATTCTGCTTCATTGTGACTTAAGTCTCATTTACACAGAAAAGTCAACAGAATGTTCAGATCACCTAACCTCCTTATCTGAAGATGAAACTTAAAGACACTGCACATCAAATGGCAGTAATTCCCTCACCGCACAACCAAACTGTGTGACCATAAGTACTGTAAGTACAGTAGGTCAAAGTCAGAGCAGAACGTCTGTGACAGATGTTTAATGTAAGTCGTCTGGGGAATGCATTTTACCTTTCAACATCTGTTTATTGTTCCAAATACTTCTATCTATTGTGGGGTTTGTTCCATCTGGCCTGATTGTGTTACAATGTCACTGATTGAAGAGGACAAAACATCAGAAATACGACCCTGGATGTGAAAATTAATGTTTGTTTCAGTTATATCACGCTAATCCCATGACCATCTTCTCAGCAACATGTTGTCTAAATTAACCTGAGTGAATTTGTTCCTGCCGAGTTTTCGACTTTAAGAGTTTGAAATTCACGACTCTACGTGATGAACCTTCCTGACAAACCCCCCGCAGACAGACAGTCCAGGCACAGAGAGGCCCTCGTTTGTACCACACTGCATCAATAAAAGACACACACAGAGATCAATACAGGTTTACGATCATTGACTTTTCCTTTCATAAAGGGAATTCAAAGGAGGAATAAGAGCAGAGGAGAAATCACAATTGATTTTATGCCATCTAAGTCGAGCCTGTGCTTCTCCGCTGTCCATGACTTATGATTTGCTCAGGTCTGCTGTTCTCACTCCTGGGGCCCTGACATCTAATATTCACAATAAAATGTGGACATAACAACACCTTTATGGGAAAATGGGAACTGGACAACATCCATTTTAAGTGTTTTATCCATATTGTAAGAAAACATTTTCTGGCCAACTTTGGCACAGAGTCTTTCTGTCCGTCACTCGTGTCTGTTTTGATAAATGTTTACTGGCTTCGCTGGAGAGATGCAGTCATAACAGCTTTGCAACTGAGAAAACAAAGGACATTAAAAGTTTAAATAGACATTGGTGGGGGGGAGACTGTGGAGATTAAAACCCGTCACTGGCAAAATGAAATTCACTGCTGCATCTTCATAACAAAAGTGTCTATGCATGGGAATGGGTAGTCAGCTGCTAACATACTAACTAGCCGCACACTGCTAGCTATTCACAAAATGCATCAAAAGTTACAGCCACAACAAACGTTTTAGAGAGTGGTTTTATAACACAGGATAATGAGAGTGCACGGCAGCACTTTGGGGACACAATGCTGTGTTGTTATACAATAAACACCGATGTGACTGGGCTGGAAAGTGTCTCTGATGACCAAAGTTATAAGAAACAAATCACTGTAAGCTGCTTTTAGGAGCAGTACGTCAGATGATCTACTCACCACTGATGACCTGCCCAAACAGTTCCTCTGGTGTGTCTCCGAAGAAGGGAGCGCAGCCCACCAGAAACTCGTACAGGATGACTCCCATCGCCCACCAGTCCACCGGCTTCCCATAGCCTTGACGGAGAATCACCTCTGGGGCGATGTACTCTGGAGTGCCACACACCTGAAGAAGCATCAGCACAGAGAAAAGCAGCTAAACACATGGGAAACATGGCAACTTAACCAGCCCACACAGTATTTACAAGGTCTTGTGAAACTCCAACAAAGAATTTGTTGTCCTAAAAAAAATGTTTGTTTGATTTGTTGATTTTATCAGTCGCAACATCTGGTAAAGTTCCATTTAACTGCTAACAGTATGTGACTAGCAGCTACAAAAAACACCTATGGGCATTTTATAATCATCAGTCACTTCTTTCAACAGCTGCAAACTTGTCACACTTTATTGCAAAATAAAAAATTAGCACAATGATTTGGAAAAGCAGTTGAATTGATGATGTTGGGCCAGAAAAACAACAGCAAAACAGAAAAGGCTTTCTAGAAGGTGAAGAAGTGAGCTGGCACCTGTTTATCCAGGAACTCTCTGGTGTCCTTCTCTATGTGTCCTTCATACAGGTTTGTGGTCAAGCTCATCAAACCGATCTTGGAAAGACCGAAGTCTGTCAACTTGATGTGTCCCATCGATGTGATGAGAAGACTGCAGGATGTAAAATGAAAGAAGCTTAGTTTTAGACACCATCTACAGACTAATGCTGTGTGTTTAATGTAAACAGAATGACAAAGAACAAGTGTGTGTGTGTCTTACTTGTCTGGTTTGAGGTCTCGGTGCACGATGCCATAGTTGTGAAGATATTCCAATGCAAGGACGGTCTCGGCGAAGTACATACGGGCCATATCGACCGGCAGGGCTCCTATATTCTTCAGCAGTGTGGCACAGTCTCCACCTACAGAGGACGGCGGCGATGACTTTGGGCAACACAGTACTAGTGGCAAAACTAACAATGAACTCCGATAACAATGACCTTACCCTCCACATACTCCATCACCATGCAGAGGTGCCTCCTAGTCTCAAAGGAGCAGAACATGGAGACAACGAAGGGGTTCTCAGCGAACGTCAGGATGTCTCGCTCCACGAAGGCCTGCTGGATCTGGTTCCTCAGGATCAGGTTCTGCTTGTTGATCTTCTTCATGGCGAAACGCTGCCGGGTCTCCTTGTGACGCACCAGGAACACAGCACTGCACCAAACAAGAAGCCAGGGGATGTTTAAACCGTATGCTTCAGTAGGAATACGTATATTCTCCATCAGAATGAATGAATGATACACCAGGGAAAGCACTTAGCCACTGCGCCTCTGTGCCGCCATCTTACACAGAACATTAAGAACATTTAAGTTAAAATCACTGGTTGGAAATGAAGCTGGCATGTATTAAAATGAGAATAACAGGATAAATGACATGTTGCTGTACCCGTAGGCGCCGTTACTGATGAGCTTGATGTTTTCAAAGTCCTCTTCTCGAGGAGTTTTGGTTTTAGCCTGTGGTGGCGCTGCTGGCACAGTGGTTCCACGACTCTGGCAGACACGCAACACAAAGAAGAAATGTTTGCATCCAGCACAGAAACAAAATGTGTGAAAGCTACTCTCATCTATCAGGAGGGAACAGCATATTTGTTTAGTCAACTTTTCAAAAAAAAAGTCCTGGGTGACTTTTTTGGGAACACTAACTGATAAGCTATTTCAGATAAATTCTTAGCTGCCAGTCCTTTAAGCAGATTGTGTTTTCTACACAGATGTTGATGGTGGTTCTGCACTCACATCCACTGACTCGTCAGTCTCTGGGGTTTCCGGGTTCCCACTGTCATAGCTGCTCAGCTGCGCCATTTCTATGAAAAGACAGAGGATTAGTAAGCGAACTGAACCAGAACAGGAAACTCGAGTAACAAAGAGAAACGTCCTGAATGTGCTACGTTAGGCTCAACCACACATGACACCTGCTCTGATCCCCTCTCACTACACTTAGAGGAAAATAAATAAAAATGTTGATTCTGAGATGGTGTACCCTCCAGGGGGTCCCTGGTGAGGCCCAGCTGGCTGATGATGTATCTGGGGATGTCAGACTTGATGCCCTGGCCCTCCTTGGCATGGCCCTCTGCCGCTTCCAACAGGTGGTAGAACTCCTCAGGATCAAACTCCTGCAGGGGCGGGAGGACGGGGACAGAGGTGAGGAGAAGAAGCAAGGAGACAGAAAAAAGAAACAGCTGTAGATCTGACAGTAAGAACTAAATTAGACAAACACTGAGAAATCTTTACAAAGAAACATTGTTATGTACATATCACGTATGAACGTTGATTGTGTTATGTAGTTTTACTGCAAGATTCCTGTTCCAAGGTTGTTTATGCTCTTAAAATAAAACTAAAGGTTGTTCTGTCTCATAGGTCATGACTGTGTTTCACATTGTGAAACATGGCATAAAGAAACTGACACATTATTATTCGATTGCAGATCAAAACTGTGACATCATAGATTATTAACCAGATTTCAACTTCTAGTCTAGTTTAGTGAAACTCAGGACAAACTGACACCATAAACCGCTCTCTCTGCCCCTCCCGTCCTATTTCCTGAAGCTACAGATACCAGTTTGGGACAAACTGTCCAAAATGCAGCCTCCAGTCTGAAGCTAGCGTTATCTGGCTAACAGTCAACGTGTCAGTTCAGTAGAACGCCGTGATTACCGCTGATGTGACACAAAGCACTGACGTTACACAAAGCTCCAGTTACTCCCAAATTAAACTCCTATTAATTCAGCACAAAGGTAAAATCATGACCATGCTAGGTGGCTAATGCTACCAAAACAGCTTTAGCTTTAGATGCTAACACATCTTGAGGGGGGTCATTTAGTGGACGTGCACTGACCACACAGTGTAGAGAACCTGAAACAACAACAGAAGGGCTGTGGAGCTGTGGTGTAAAGATGGAGGCTGTTTTTGTTGCACACCCTAATATTACTCCTGTGTTCCCTGACATAGAGGCCATCACTGTTGCACTCCCACTTCTGCACACACAGCACATACAGTATACATGTATACCCCATCCCTGCCCCCTCTTCTATCTGTTTGCTTCCATTTGTGAAAACTCATCCTGATCGGTGTCACAGCTTCTGCCGCATGTGATTAGTCAAAGCTAATGATGTGAGCACCAGGGCGGCCTCCCCTCCTCTCCTCCCTCCCCACCACCCCTGCAGTTACCCATCTGTCTTCATCTGGTCTCCCTTCTTCACTTTCTCCTACCCTGGCTCATTTCTGGGCTCACACACGGTTGGCTTCACCTGTTCGGCCCATTCCCACTTGAACTGATGACGCTGTGTTTGGAAGAAGTGCGCATGTGAAGGGGAGCTGATGGTGAGGATGATACCTCAGGTGGCGGGGACACCTCTGAATATAATGTTGTGCAGGACAAAACCACCTTTGACTATGATCTTAATAGTAAACATATAATTAAATTTATACATTTATGACAATTTCACCAAAAACGGAAACATTTTAAGTGTCATGCACACAGATGTTAAGGTGGAAGTGTGGCATTGAAGTGCATACAGTTGTACCTAATAAAGTGGCCTGTGAGTGTACAGTATAAGTGCTTCTAAACAGTGCTTAAGTACAGTTACTTTACTTTAATCTTTATCTTATAAGAAAAACCTCACTAAGAATAAAAATCTCTTTTGTAAGAGTCCCAGCCAGGAAGACAGCTCTATCACACCATCCATCCATCCATCCATTTTCCTCCGCTTATCCGGGACCGGGTCACGGGGGCAGCAGTCTAAGCAAAGATGCCCAGACTTCCTTCTCTCCAGACACTTCCTCCAGCTCCTC